CGGCTCGGAGACGTCCGATACCCATAATAAAAACAAGACCTTCAAATATTTTTTTTTAAAAAAATCGGTTATAAAGGCTACCCTCGGTAAACTACAAATCTAAAAAGTCATAAGTACTTTGGAAAAAAAGTTCTCAATCATGTCGAACCCCCACAATGCCTTAAACAAAATAATATCGAAGGCAAGGCCTGTTCGAACCTCCGGACATGACCTAACTATTCTATGCTAAGGCATTTCGACCTTTGCATATATAAAGAATAAAGCAAAGGAAAAAAGAATATACAAACAACCAAAGGGAAAAACAAGCCTCATATATTATACATAATCTTTATAAAGGCCAAATGGACCTAACAAAAATACAAAAGTACGCGAGTACAAAAAAACAAAGAAGCAAATTTTTTTTACAAATGCGTCTAAACAGCCTGGTCTTCTTCGCCCCCGGTTCCATCAGAACTATCAGAGTCTTCTTCTTCTTCTTCTGGGCAGAATAATTTCTTGGCCTCAGCCTCGAGCTCCTTAGCAGTCTCAATCTCAGCCGATAGATCGAAACCCCGAGCATGGATCTCCTCGAGGGCCTCTCTTCGTGACTGCCGCTTCTCGTATTCAATGATATCTTTCAAGCGGTCCTGGGCCGCCTTGGCATCGTCTTTGTATTGGGCCACCATCTCGTCGGCATCAGCTTTAACCACTGCCGCCACTGACTTGGCAGTTTCAAGTTCCTTGGCCATAATGTTCCGCTCGGAGGCAGCCGAACTTAGTCGAGACTGGAGCTCTTCGACCTTTTTGGCCTGTGTCTCGGCCCTTTCCTTTGCTGCTTGAAGCTGGCCCTCAGCCAAAGTCAGTTGTGCCCAAGAAGCCTCATTTTCTGAGGCCAGGCAATCCATCCTGCCCCTCCATTCGTCGGTCTTGGCCTTGACAATGTCTATCTCAACTAGAAGTTGGTCTATTCGGTCGATTTTCTGTTGGACCTGCAGATTTCGATGGTTAGTCACCGAGCATAGCTCATCGTCACTAACCTCAAATATTTTTACCTACTTGACCAGATCGGCATGATCCTTTCGAGCCACCTCGAGCTCAGCTCGGAGGCTATTAGCCTCCCCTTCACGCTGCTCACTAAGAAGTTTGTAGGAATCTCTCTTCTTAGTGAGCCCTTGGACCTCGGTCTCAAGCTGTTTCAGCTCATCACGTTATCGGATAAAAGCCTCATGGTGAAGCACCGAGGCCTACAAACACGAAGAGAAAATGTTAGAGCTATTTACAAAATAGCCTAAGTATAAATTGAAAACCATTGAAGAATGTTTAAAGTTACCTGGTTTAATGCCTGTTGCGCTTCGTTGAACAGGCAGGGTGCATCCACGTCGTTCATCTTGGCCTGATCATCCTCGGTCACCAGACACCGAATATAACTGGCCACCCCTACGGGGGCAGAGAGGACCCGAGAATCCTCCAAAAGGGAGAAAGTGATGAATCGCTTCCGGCCAGGATCCACACTCGGGAAGGGGAATCGATTGACCAGTTTGGGACTCAAGAATGGGCCACTTGCTCCCGAAGATAGGCTTTTCCTCGGTATCTCTAAATCTCCCAACCCGGTGATACCCTCCGTAGCCATAGAATCCACTTCATCAAAGAGGCCGCGGTAGGGATCGTCCGCTTCGAGGACTCCCTCATTGGGAGGTTCTTTCACCGTATGAGCCTCATTATACATGGACTCAATGAACGAAGGTGACTCGGTGATCTCTATCATACCGAGTGCTTCCTTCGGTGCACTACACATGTCCTGGGAAGCTTTAGTCTCGACCTCCCTAGCTCGATGAAGATCGGCATCGCCTCCCTCTGGTTCGGAGGCCCCTTGCCTTTCGAGTCGTGTCGACACTCGGGACACCAGATTGAAGTTTTCCTCTTCTTGTTCTCCTTTGGATTCATCCCTAAGCTAATAGAGGGAATCCAAAGGTGGTGCTCGAGCGCTGGTGCTTTCTTTGGACTTCCACCCCAGCCTTCTCTTTGTTTTTTTTTTCTTCGAGCCCGGAGAACTCGGAGCCCTTTTTCTCTTCTTCTCTTCACCCTATTTCAGAGCAGGGGATTCAGTGGGGAGATCGTCATTACCGGATGGAGGTCTCCTTTGAACATCCTTAGGTAAACCTACAATAAGAAATAAAACAAGTGAGGACTTAGTCGCGCAAAAGGCAAACCAAAAAGTACTCGTGAAAGAGATCTCACCGCGCGAACGAGCCTCCCATCGACCTTTTGAAAGCTCGCGCCACGAGCGCTCAGAATAAAGCCTTTGCGATACTATGCCTTCGACCCACTCCTTGAGTCGAGGAACCGCATTCGGGATTCGGGAAACAATTGCACCGTCACAGTCGATAAATAAAACCTTGAAAGCAAAATCAGATACTTACGTTTCATGTTCCACTTCTCAGGGAACGGCATGTACTCGGCCGGGATCAAGTCTGAGGTCCTCACTCGAACGAAACGGCCTAGCCATCCTCGATCCCTATCTTCATCGATACTCGAGAATGTAGCTTTACTAGCCCGACGTGTGAGCTTGATCAGTCCTCTCCGGTAGAGTCGGGGACTGTACAAACGCATAAGGTAGTCGATCGTGAAAGGGCACCCATCGATCTTGCTCACGAAGAAACGAAGGAGGATTACGATCCTCAAGAAAGAAGGGTGAATCTGGCCGATGGTTACCTCGTATCTCTTGTAGAAGTCGATGATGACCTGGTCCAAGGGGCCCAACGTGAAGGGATATGTGTAAACACTTAAAAATGCCTCGGCGTGGGTGATGATGGCCTCGTCGGGTTCGGGAACCAGCACATATTTGTCAACCCAGTTACAATCCCTTTTGACTTGGAAGAGAATGTTCTCGGTGATCGAACAGATGTACCTCGAGACCTCCTCTCACCGGCCTGGTATGGAGGAGGGCTTTTCGATTTTAAATTTAACATTGACCGGGCATCTCCCCGGGACGAACATTTTTAGAGGAGGTTCTGGTGCTGATTCCTCGACAGCTGTACGTGAAGCGGTCTCTTCGGTAGCCGATCGCGAGGTAGAAAGATTCTCTTTTTGAGGAACAGATATTGAAATCTTCGCTATTTCTTTGGAAAATGAAGGAAAAAGAGGAAATTAGAAGAGTATGCTTGATGGTTTGGGGTAAAGAGCAGAAGTTCTTATAAAGAATTTCAGAGTAATCGGAAAATTAATGCTTGGAAGTGTTGAAATTTCTAAGGTACGAGGGCAGAAGGTTTGAAAGTAAAATTTGAATGAACTAATAAAGGGGTATTTATAGTTTCTCAGCGACTGTTCACATCTGGGAGTGGCCGACCAATAACTGACATGCATTTAATGCCATTAAGACTTGACTGACGAGACGTTTCGACTGTTTTGTCGTTTCCGTCACAAAATATCGAAGTTAGGATCAAAAGTTCATGTCGTTTCTCGTCGTCTACTCTCCGAAAAACGAGGGGACTATCTGTATACGGTCGAAGTTGAGCTCGACTACAACTTGGTAAATTAGGCTTGGAACGTGGCGACCAAGGACTGAAGATCAACCTCGAGTTCCACCAAGCTAGAACCCGAGGTCGAAAAGACTGCCTTCAAGGAACATTAAGTCCGGTGTCGACCTTAACCTAGAACGATCTCAGAGAAACATTGTTGAGATAAATAACAGAAGCCCGAAATATCTGTGACCGGTCGAATATTACGGCGGGAATCTCAGTACGAATCAATACAGAGCCGGCAATCAGCGAATCAAGAGATCTTTTACCTTTTATAGAATTGTACCTAAAGTAGGATTCCTCTATTATATAGAGGGGGTTTGATTATTCATTGGACATTATTGTAATACGCATCCCAAAGCAATATATTATTATTCTCCTTAAGTTCTTATTATTCTCTTGTTGTTCTGTTCTGATATCAATCAAAGCACTTTTGGTTCGAGGGTGGCTAACCTTCCAAGGCTAAGACGGTTCAACTTGTGTGGTTTGCATTTACTTTTCTATTGTTTATTTCAATTACAATCTGATTTATCGTTTTGTGTCAAGTTAAATCACGTACCCTTAAAACCACTTACAAATTCAATTGTTATCCGATTTTGAGGGTACACATAACTAATATATAATCTAACAGTATAAATATTTAACTCCACCAATATATAAAAGTTAAACTCGAAAAAACAGAAGATAACACAGATTTTGAAGGTAAATAAAGACAAAAAAGAATAGCGACAGGAGTAATGAGGCTATAGTTACGTAGGGACAAGCACTCTCTCCACAAATAATAATTTAGTTTATTGGGGGGGTTTTGGCCTCATGAGAGTCAGTTTAGGTCATATAATATCGCAAGGAAGAATGTTGCAGCATACAAGGACAAAGAACAAGACAATGTCCCAAGTGTTCCTTTGCATTCCATAAAGTCACAAACATCCAAATCTCCGGATATAAAATAAAAGCCAAGGATAAAACCAAACACACTTGCACAAGAATCCAATCCTAGTATTAAAAGCTCTGGCTATTACCTATACTCCTTTGGATTCTATCTCCAGCCCCTAGCTAAAGCTTCACACTCATCTCTTTCTTACTACCGGTACTAGTAGTATTTTGAATGATTCCCTACGTACGTGGACCCCTGTCTTTCTATTTGGATCTTTTCAACTCGTACTAGTCCATACAATTTTTGTACATTGTCTCTTCGATTTAGATTAAACATTTTGCTTCAATTTATTTAAAGTAATATAAAAAGAATATATTTTAAAATATTAATCAAAATTTATATAATTTAACTATCGATAAGTAAAATATATAGTCTAAATTGAAACGAGGGTAGCTGATTAGGACATTCTTTGAAGCTAATTAATTACCCTGCAAGCTCTGTGTTTCCCTCATATAACCTAAGCCATAAAAAAATAATGATTTCCCGAGAGGCATTACATAGTTTTCTGAATGTGCCAAGACAGACACAAAATAAGAACAAAAAAATTAAAGGAAGAGAAAAAAAAGAAATGAGGAAGTTCAAAAAGTTACTACTTATCTCTTAGTGAGGGATGCTTACATTGGATACTCGTAATTAAAGCTAGCTATACGTAATCTTTTCTATATTTTTCAATACGTCAAAATAAACAAACTTAAGTTATACAGCAGTTTTATTCCTTTCCTTCTTCTTCCCTATCTCGTCTATATTTACTTTTTTAACTGAACTATTCATGGGAAAAATTAAAAGAGCATGTCTTTTTCTTTTCTCGTTTCCAACTATTTTTCTTCTTCTTCTTATGTTTTCACCATCTCCCTTCGTCTTCGTCTTCGTCTTCGTCTTCGTCTTCGTCGGAGGGAATGTACATACATATAAAGAAAATCCTGAGGTCTTCCATCCTCGATATATATATATATATATAAGCTTGAATCTCATGTGAGGTACGATCGGAGAAGTTGAATTAGCTCTTAAACTTGTGCAGTTTTCTGTTGAAGCCAATTTGAGAAAGTTTGAAGAGTGTTCATATCAGCTCTGTAATGCTTCTGTGTAAACTCAAGGAGAGTAGGCCATGTGAAGTCGGGATATATTCTAGGGTTGTTGGTGTCCACCAATTCAGTTGGTGGGCTCACTACCTTATCCTTCTTTGGACAAAGAAAGAAAGCAAGTGATTTCCTAGGAGTTTTGTTGTTTACCACTGCTCTGTGCAAGCAACTTTTGTATCTTCCATTTGAAAGAGCCTGCAAAAGGGCAAAATTCAACCAAAAATGTTACCCCACGTACTGAATTACATGACCACTTTTTCATGACTTTGTAAATAATTCAACTTGTTTCTATTGCAACAATATCAACAGGGCATTATTTTGTACGTCCTAAGCACTCATGATGTATATCATTGTACGTCATATGAAAATAACCTAATACTAATTATTTGTCACGTAAAATATGTAGTAGTAGTATACTGTTTGTCTCTCTTTATATTTCAACGGGACATTATACTTTTTCTAGCACGTTAATTCGCTTACCATAAATGTATCGCCTATGTTAACAACGAAAGCGTTGAAATTTGGACTGATGGAGCGCCATTCGTTGTCCACAAAAACTTGAAGCCCGCCAACACTATCTTGATGTAGAATTGTTAATGATGTTGGATCACAATGTGGCCCTGTCCCTAAAGTGAGGTCTGGTTTCTGGCATGGTGGATAATAGTTGAGTCTCATTATGGATTCATTTTCTTCAAAAAACTCTTTGAAGTGTTCCCTCCCTACGCCTAGGCTCATTCCCAAAAGTTCCATTATCCCTAGAGAAAGTGTGCTCATTGAATTGCAATATTCTTGATAAACATTCCTGTGCAATTCAAGAAAAAAAGGGTTAATATAATTGACAAGAGGGAAAAAAACAGCCCGGTGCACTAAGGGGTTCGGGGAAGGGTCGGACCACAAGGGTGTATTGTGCGCAACCTTACCCTGCATTTCTGCAAGAGGCTATTTTCACTGCTCGAACCCGTGACTTCCTCGTCACAATAACAGTAACTTTACCAGTTACGCCAAGGTCCCTTCAGTAATTGACAAGAGAGAAAAAGGAAATAAAAGGTAGTGAACAAGTTGTCATGTTGTCTTACCCAAGATGGCTAAAACTTTCACCCATTGTATTTTGGAAGTATTCTTCAACTATGTGAGATGAGTCTTCTTCAGCGGAGTATCGAAAAGAGAGTGTCTCTTTCCAAGGTAGCTTAGAGGAAAACCTTCCAGTAAAGCTACTGGCATAACCACAATGCTCTTCAAGTTTCCTCTGAGCCTTTTGCTTTTCAGAAAGTGGCAAGTCAAAAAACATGTCCATGTAACGATGGGCGTTGGAGATGAGATTAGCGTTAACTCCGTGGTTAACTACAAGAAAGAAACCATGATTACGGCATGCTTCACCAACAAGTCTAGATGCTTGTTGGGCCGCGACGGGGTCTCCAGAAAGGAAACCTCCTAAGTCGATAAGTGGAACCGGAAGTTCTCGTGCTACAGCACGAGGCTTCTCGTCGTCTGGCCATACGAATTGTGTTGGAATGTTGTACTCGCGTTTCATCTGAGATGCATCAAAAATCAATGGTTTTTTCTCATCTTCTAATATCCGCAGAATTGGTGATTTCACATTCGTGATCATACAATCAATTGCCATTGCATGCGAGTTTTGTTTTCTTTTTAACGAAGAAAGAGTAGTTAATTGAGCCAAAGGGAAGAAAATTTAAGAGCAAAAGATAGCGAGTGGGGAAGAATGGAGTTAGAGAGTTGAGATAAAGGTAAAGCCAAGGCCGTTCATTGGGTAAATAGGTGAACAAAAATTGGAATCTTATAGGTCTTCCTTTGTGGTGTCCCTAAGACAGAAAACAGGAGCTCCAAAATGAACACTTTGCTGAGAAGGGCTTAATAATGCTTAAAATTGGGATAGAGGTCCATATGTTATTTGTCTTTTATATTGTTGACAGGAAAGCGTTTCCCAATGGTATTTGGAGTTTCCTTTGGTCGGTTGGTGCAGCAGATTCAGAATTTTAAGCATTTTAAGTTATTGAATTTTAAATTAATAATTTATATATAATTAATGAATTTTTTAAGACAAATATAATATTCGAACCAAAGTTACTGTGTTCGACCGAACCCGCTCCCTACATTCTAACTCCGCCCGTGAACCCGACCTTTCTATCTTCTCCCCTCCCCTGCTTCCCCTTCCCCATCTCCAGTTTCTGCATATTGATATCTCCCGTTTATGTTGCATTTGTTTTGATACATTCATAAGAATGGAGATATATAAAAAAAATTATCATAAAGATTGATGTATTACTTAATTCCATAAAATAGAACTAGATAACGTAGCCATATACGATTTCATGTAGCATATTGTCTCAATCCTACACCAATTAGAATTTTGCAAGAATTGTAATTGTTAGGATCAAATGCTTACCATCATTTCAAAAACTATAACTGATAACAAGGGGGCAATTTTATTTTTTAACCAAGCCCATCAAACAAGCGTCATGTTCGAACAAGTAAAGACAGTTCCCATTAAGAGATTCATATAAAGATGAAGAGGAGCACGGTTTTCGACTCATAAGGAGATTTCTCTTCTCTTTTTCTTTTTTAATTCTAATTACATCTTCACCTAAATTAGAAAGAACTTTAGGCTCACTATTTAACAAAACCAACGACAATACAGGCTCATTAATTACCTAGTTAATGATTCTACTGTAAGTGTAGGTTCAAATCATATTAACTGTCTTTGTCATCTCCTTTCAATGTAACTAAGAAGATATTTCTATAAAACACGAAAGCAAGGACAGGGGAAGCCGAATCATGCCGACCTGTAAATAGACAGTTTCTAATTTAAGAATTAAAGAGAAGCTTACTACTGTAGCTTCAGTAGTAATCTCTTTTGAAATAAGTTAACAAATAAGAGCATCTTACTACATGATAATCCATTGAATGGGATAAAAAAGACAGAAGGTACTAAGAGTGAACCAAGCAAGAGGAGATGTCTTGTTACTAGATGAGTGTTTACAATTAGCCAAAAAGTATTAATGGCACACAAAATGATCAAACGGGAACAGGGAAGATGGTGTTGTTGGAAACACTTGTGTTAATTACTAGCAACGCATTTTGAGAACAACAACAATAACAAACCCACTATAATCCTACAAGTGGAGTTTGGGGAGGGTAGTGAGTATGCAAACCTTACCCCTACAGTGAATATAGAGGTTATTTTCAGTATACCCTCGGCACGAGGAAAAAATAAAAATAGAGCAATAGCAACAAGACGTGAACAAGATAAAAAGAAAACAAGGCTAAAGTTACAAGATGTAGTGAAGTCCATTTGGGGAGATAGACAAAAGATATTTGAGTTTTACCAAGACTGATAGCATCCTTGAGTGTAAAATCCAGGAACGTAGTTTCAGCATGTAAGGTAAAAGAAGGACGGAGTGAGAGTCCGTTTCTTGAGGGGGCTATTGAGTAGTGAAGTCTGGTAGTGACATCTGGAGAATTATAAGCTATATATTAAGCTCTTAACATAATAGATAAACAGCTATTATTGGGATAATTAAGCTCTTAACATAGTATATAAACAGCGATTATCCGGTTTGTGGTTGTCGTTTTTGGAGGAGTATTGCAGGGATGTAACATGTCTAATTGTTTTTCTTTTTAAGTTTGTCTTTGCTCTTTAAAATGTGCAACTTGTATGCGTTAAGAGTATCTAGAGGAATGTTATAAATCCAGGATTCCCTTTTTATAAGATGCTAAGTACCTAGATCTTGCTACTGTTAATTCCAAATGCAAACGCTATCTAATAGGAGTTACTAGAATTTTGTGACAGTCTTGCACCAAAAGAACAAGCAGTCAAGCTATCCTCCAATAAAATTATAACAAGCTATGAAACAGGTCTCACACTAATTAATGACTCCCTGTCCCACAATGTTACAGGTTCAATTCATTATTTTAAATTTCGTTCATTCAACAGCAAGTTACTTGTCTTGGTCTTGCTCACGATAGGGGTTGTAGGGACTTAATTTTATTTTTAGGGACCAATTAGCAACAGTTTAGGCTCGCTTCATTGCCTGGGCAAGATCTGACGACTCCTGCCCAAAAATGACGGGTTACGAATCAGATTAGCTACTGCCAAAGATCGAGGTCAAGAACGAGTTTCCGCTTTATCTGAAGAAAAAAATATGCTCTTCCTTTATATCTTCCTGATTAGTGCATTCAGAGTGATTAGGTGAAGCCACACTTCTCGTTGGCACAGTTTTATTTTTAGGGACCAATTATCAACATTAAAAGAACATTTAAAATACGAGACAACAGTAAATTCATGTCCTCAGACATGAACTTCAGTTATCCCCGTCTTTCAATTAAGAGTCAATTGCTCGTTCTCCATTTCTTTGATCGTTAAAGGTTTCTGACAAGAATAATGCAAAATGCAACTATTAGTTATTTACAAAATTGCTTGATTTTTTCTAATTTCGCATTTAAATTAAAGTATAGTAGGGCCTAGGGGTGGCAAACGGACGGGTAGTAAACAGGCAATATAAAACGGATAAATTATCTGACCCATATTTAATACGAATAAAAAAGGGGTTAACCGAAATATGATCATTTGTGGGAGAATTCATAGTCTTTCAAACTTGAGGGAACCACCAATTTGAGGCTTTACAAATGTAAAAGTTAAACTTATTAGTTATCCATTGGTTATCCATTTTCTAAATGGATAATATGGTTCTTATCCATTGTTCATCCGTTTTTAAAAAGTTCATTATCCAACCTATTTTTTTAACGAATAATATGGATAGACAAATATTTTCTTTTAACCATTTTGGCACCACGTACAGGGCCGAACGATGTCTAAGGCTTGCAGTTACTTCTGTTGCATCCAGTTAAACAGACAGGCCATTTCCAAACACACCCCACCTACCCCCTTTTGATTGGAGGATGGCTTTAATGTTGAATTTTCTATGATATCGACATTTTGAAAGTAATATAATATACTAGTTAGCAACTATAAAAGAAGTAGATGATGCATAACATAATGGTGGAAGTGGAACCTATATATGAAAGCACAAACATACTATCGACAAAGTCAACTTGGCTTTATGTTAGTGCCTTTTCTTGCTTTTTCTAGAGAAGCAAAGGAAGCAATGAGAAACATAGCCTCCTTTAACATATAGTCATCAAGCTAATTTTAGCTTTCGGTTGAATTTCCATGTTTCATTATGACGGGGCCAAATTAATAAGGAAAATTTAGTAGGATATCACCTGGTCTACTACCAAGTTTAGTTATGACCACTATTCATTTGGTATCAAATAGGTTGTTTTTAGAGAGAGAAGTATATCATACGTAAAAAGATAGCCAGCATCATTGTTTAGTTTAGACTAAGAGTGTCAAATGACATAATTAGGTTGAATACTAAGCGGGGTTAAAATTGATTGAGTCAATAAATGAGTTTGATCATAATCTGTCTAATTTTAGTTTGGTTCAAGATGAACGGATCAATTTAGACTAATAATGTCATAGTCCAACCAGCTCAACCGAAATCAGTTTTTCATTTGTTTGTTTCTTTGTTTTTAATCACCAAACAATAACATATATACCAAACTAAAAAATTCTTGTTTTCCAATATTCTAACAAGTTTTCTTATAAGTTGAGTTAGACTACTTACTTAGCCCAGACATTTAGATGGGCTAACTTGGATTGTGCCTCGAGCAGATTATATTTTCATCGACTAAATTTTAGTTTAGACATACTGAAATGTAGTTTTCTCAGTTTTCATCCGAACTCTACTTGAAGTATATTACACTATTTATTTGTATTTGCAATAATTTTCGTAAAATAAAGGTTAGTTCAACTTTAAGAGCACAGCAAAAACAAAAAGCATGATTAGATTATTAAGAGCATCTCCAACGCTCCCATATTTCTCCAAAACGCAGTCATTCTTTTGTCAAAATATGGCTCCAATGCTACCTTATTTTTTGGCTACAAAATGGGGGATGAATAGGATTACTCCAAATTTAGTGTAACGACTCGGCCGGTCGGCTTGAGTATTACAACCTGTTTTCTCATTTATTGCTCAAATCATGTTTTACATCTGTTATGTGACTTGGCGGGGTAATTGGTTGGGGTCCGATAAGGTTTTGGAATGAATTAGAACACTTAGTTCTAAGGCTTAAAGCTTAAGCTGAAATAGTGACTGGATGCCGACCTATGTGTAAACGACCCCTGAATAAAGTTTTGATGATTCCAATAGCTCCGTATGGTGATTTTGGACTTAGGAGCGTGTCCAGAAAAGTATTTGGAGGTCCATAGTGGAATTAGGCTTGAAATGACGAAAGTTGAATTTTGGGGAAGTTTGACCAGGAGTTGAACTTTTTGATATCGGGGTCGGAATCCGATTCTGAAAATTTGAATAGGTTCGTTATATTATTTATGACTTGTGTGTAAAATTTGAGGTCAATCAGACGTGATTTGATAGGTTCCAACGTCATTTGTAGAAATTTAAAATTTCAAAGTTCATTAGGCTTGAATTGGGGTATGATTTATGGTTTAAGCGTTGTTTGACGTGATTTGAAGGCTCGACTAAGTTCATAGGATATTTTAGGACTTATTGGTGTATTTGGTTGAAGTCCTGGGGGCCTCGGGTGAGTTTCGGATGGTTAACGGATCAAATTCGGACTTAGAAGAAAATTTTAAAGTTTCTGCCATCTAATGCAATCGCACCTGCGGAAATTGGCTCGCAGAAGCGAGCATGACAAGCGTAGAAACGGACGAGGGGCTGGTGAGGTAGTGGTCGCAAGTGCGGACGGGTGGTCCGCAAAAGCGGCGTCGCACCTGCGAAGGTTCAATCGCAGAAGCGGA